TGTGTGTGGGGGGGCGATTTCCGGCGACAGTTCCCCCCTTCGGAGATAAGATTCGAAGTAGGAAACCTCGCAATCCTTCTCTCCACATAAATCAATAAAAAATCTGACATGTCGTACCTAGAGTCCTGGGTCTGGAGGTTCTTCAAGGGTCCCATTTCAATGGTTGACGGAATTCCTGGCGTCGGTGATCTGTAGGTGGTAGTCGATCGCGGGTGAAGGGTAGGAAGGCAAGAGCCGCCAGTTTGACAGCACATTGGGAAGCAGTGGATTGAGCAGCAGAAGAAAGCGATGCAGATGGCAACAGTGATCAGTATTAAAAGGCCGTTTCCTAATAGTTGTTTTATCCAAGCGGACCCGGGTAGCCAGCTCCAGAAGTGTGCGTCTGAAAGGCCCTCATGCTGGATGTTTTGAAGCCGTTCCTTAGTTTGTGGATGTTATTGAGATGACCAGTGATGTTCAAGTCTGGTCCGAGACGTGTGTGCAGCACTCGGTTCCGACAAGAGCACATACGCCTCCAGTCGACGCAAGGACGTAGTCCAAAGCAAGGCGGTTCTGTATCGAATTTTGCCTGACCTCTGTCAGTTCCGTCAGAATGGATTGGGTGGCTGCATTTGATTCTTCCATAAAGTTCAGCAATATGTCTGTTAATTTGAGGATGTCGACATGGTTGGAGCCTGCTCCGTACGCAGGGAAAAGGGCTCGCCCGTAAGTTTCTCCATTTGCTGCCACATCGGAGAGGTCTGACAAATCCTTTGCCCTCTTATTACGCATCCTTCCGGGGGGAAGGTTTTGGGTTACCCGGATCCCCGAAGAATTAGTCCAAGGTAGCAGGTGCCCCGGGAGTGGGGGCTGGCCCACACATAGCCGCGGTGGCCGCAAATCCAGAACAACCCTTGCAGGCACGAGTTTATACGACCAGTGAGGAAGGTGCGGAAGAAACATTGGGAAGTTGGGGACGGGTCCCAGGGTTCGGGTAAGTCCATTATGCGCTTCCATGCAGACAGTAGGTTGGGATGGGAGGAGGGCTTGCCTTGGTGCCATAGGTAATTTTGCCGGTCAAGGTAATGTCAATGTGTACTTACAGGTGCTCTCGCCGATGACTTTGTCAGTGCCGCTGAACTTCCGGCAGAGATCGCCTGTTGTAGGTCCAGTTAGGTAGATGTACTGGTGAGTGAAGTTGACGGCAGTCAGGTTCCAGGACTGTACATCAGAGGAGAGATGTTGTTGAAGGGTAAAGGGGCACCCCGAGGAAAGGTAGGCCGCTGTGGAGATGAGCAGGAGCATTGGCACAGATCCAGCATTCGTTGGTGGTTGTTTGCTTTGCGATCTGAGAGATTAGTTTCACATAGGTGTTGGAGTGCCATGTGGACAAAATGTCATTATTTGTGGGGGTTCGGATATTGACAGTTCCCCCTTTGTCGAGGTGCGGTGCCTGCGGGGTGCAGGGGATCTTGACGAAGTAGATAGGTGAGGTTTGTGGTGAGACCGCCGCAACGTTGAGGTCCGGTGGTGTCCCATTCTGTTGGGGTTGTAGCTGAATAATGCCAGCCTTCCAGATACGCCTTGCCGTCCCAGTTGGAGGCTAGTCCAATATCCCAAACGCAGCAATATCTTCGGAGGCAGACTCCTTGTAAGATGGTTTGGCGGGGGGCGGAATCCACTCTTTGGCAGTAGAATCCGTGGATTAGGCGGTCTGTTGGGTGGTTCTGGTCAGTATAAAGTGACTCGCCACCACCATTGTCGAGGAGAGTCCAGTTAAGTGTTTGTTGTGGTGTACCATCAGAGAAGAGTACGTAGGAACCGTTGAGGCAATGTGCACGGTTCCAAGGGCCGTCTCTGGTGAGAATGAGTTTGCCGAGAGGCATGTAAGAGGATGAGCGAATAAAAAGTTCCCATGCTTGGTGTGCTGCAAGGATCGGTGATATGGAGTGTCGAAGGAGGACGCGAGTCTCAGGCAAGCAGAAGTCGAAATCTCCAAGGCGGTCCAAAGTTCCTCTTTTTACCATATCAACTATTCCAAAGTCTAGATATTTGTATTCAGTTTGTAATCCAGGGCAAGAAGCATGTGTGGTCGTGGCGTTCTGAGCGAAAACGGTGGTGAGTATAAGGAGTAATAGGGTGGGTGTGGTGGTGGTCGGCATTGTCGCGGAGGCAGTCGAGCTGTCAAACTGCAGAGCTGTCAAATGGGGAGCGGTGAAGCGGTGGAGCTGTCAAACTGCAGAGCTGTCAAATGGGGAGCGGTGAAGCGGTGGAGCTGTCAAAGCAGAGTTGTCAAATGGGGAGCGGTGAAGCGGTGGAGCTGTCAACTGCAGAGCTGTCAAATGGGGAGCGGTGAACGGTGGAGCTGTCAAATGCGTGGTGTTTTACGGAGTTTGAGGCGAATTGGGGGTTGGTCGTGCGGCTGGGTGTGGGATGATTCTCGGAGGTCCAATGGGTTGATGACGACGGTGTCGGGTCCGGTCTGTTGGGCCGATATCGTGCCCCGAGCTGGTCCGGTCTGTTGGGCTCGATTCGTGCCCCGATCTGGTCCGGTCTGTTGGGCTCGATTCGTGCCCCGATCTGGTCCGGTCTGTTGGCGTCCTCTGTATCGGAGTCGTCGTCTGGCGGCCGGCGTGGGGTGTAATATGGTGAGTCGTCTGAGCAGGTTCTGGTGCTGATGCGGGTTTGCAGCGGGTGTGATGTAACCAGGCTGTCTTTTCTGCTACCTTAACGGAAGTTGGAGTGGTTAAAAGTACTTGGTAGGGACCCTCCCAGGTGGGCTGTAGGGGTATCTTATGATAGGTTTTCGCTAGTATCCAGTCACCTGGTTGGTAAGGGTGGACGTTTTCGTCGAGGGATGTTTTGGCTTGAAGCAGCGTATTTGTGGAGAAGAATTAGTTGTCTCTGGAGTTGTATTACATATTTTGTTAATTCTGACTCGCCCACCTCTAGCTCAGATGTTGGGTATTGGGTATTATACACTGGAGAGGGTCGCCCAAACAGTAATTCATAGGGAGACAGTTTGAGTTGCCGCGGGGGCATGCTCTAAGATTATGAAGGACTAATGGAAGAGCATTAACCCATTTGATGTCAGAGTCTTTACAAAGTTTCCCGAGTTGATTTAGTTGTTGGTTCATTCTCTCAACCTGTCCTGAGGAAGGGGGGTGTATGGGGTATGTAGTTTCCATTTAATGCCAAGGGCAGTGCTACTTGTTGTATTACATCTGAGTGAATGTGAGCCTCTGTCGCTGTCTATGTGTCGGGGATTCCGAAGCGGGGTATAATCTCTTGTAATAGGATCTTTGCAACGATGTGTGCGGTCGCTTTACGTGTTGGGAAGCATTCCACCCACCCGGTCACTGGTCAATAATCACTAGGGCATGCTTATACCTTGGCAGGGTGGTAGATCTATGAAATCTATCTGAAGACTTTCGAATGGAACGAAAGCCCATGGCCTGGCCCCTGGTGGGCATCTGGCGGTGTGTTTTGGTTGAAACTTTGACAAGTATGACAGTTCTTAACGGGCCTTAGCGGCAAGGCAAGGCCTGGGGCATACCAGCAGCATTGAATTGTGTCAATAAGTTTGTCTCTTCCCCAATGAGTACATTGGTGTAGGACTCTCAGATGTTTGGGTACCCATAGCCTAGGCATTATGAGCCGTTTGTCGGGGAAATACCAAATGCCTTTGTCTAATTGGGCCCCTTGTTCCTCCCATCCTTTTATCTCTTCCGGGGTTGCCGTTTTATACATCTCTGTGAAATCTACATCGGATAAGACCTGTGGTCCTTGGAATTCATTGTCTGCGGGGAGGGGCTGAAGGGCCGCCTCTTGTGCTGCGCGGTCAGCACGTCGGTTCCCTATTGAGACTGCGTCCCTTCCTTTCGTATGTGCTTTACAATGCACTACGGCAATGGCTTCTGGAAGGTGTATAGAGTTCATGAGGCGCTGTACTAGGGGAGCGTGTGCAACCTGGGTACCTGCTGTGGTCAAGAAACCCTCTGTAACCAGATTTGTCCGGTGGCATGCACTAATCCGAAGCAATATTTAGAGTCCGTATAGATAGTGATTTTCCGTCCTGCCCCTAATTCACAGGCTCTGATTAGGGCGATGAGTTCTGCTGCTTGTGCACTGTATTTTGGGTGGACGGGTCGTGCCTCTAAGGTCTCGGCATCGGAAACTATGGCGTATCCACTTTTACGTTCCCCTCCCACAACTTTAGAACTCCCATCAGTATACAGGATAAGGTCCGGGTCCATTAAAGGTAGGTAGTCAAGGTCCTCGCGTGGTTTTCTACATGGCGGACTATCTGAGAACAGTCGTGATGTGGGGTTCCGTCTTCGGGGAGGGGTAGGAGGGTTGCAGGATTAAGCGAGTTCACCCTTTTTATGGTGACATTTGATGGACTTAGGAGAATGGCCTCATATCTGTTTAAGCGTTGTATTGTGAAACGTTGGCACCCT